AGAGTCGAGAGAGAGAGAGAGAGAGAGAGAGAGAGAGAGAGAGAGAGAGAGAGAGAGAGAGAGAGAGAGAGAGAGAGAGAGCTCGACTGAGGAACAACGCAATATAAAGGGCCTGGGTAGCTATGGTAAACATGGGCGCGCAAGTAGCTACCCAGGCCAGATGAATAATGCATGAACTTGTGGGCCTAACAAAAGGAAGACGAGCGGCGGTGGATTTGGTCGCGATGCGTGGTTGAAAGGGAAGAACTCACTGCTTCGAATTATCGGCATGCTGCTCGGCTCCACCCTAGCTTTCGACATCCGCTCAAGTAATCGTTCCTTTTTTCAAATTGTTTTAAATCAGAATCCAATGGAACTGCTTTGCATTCTTCACGTAATGATTGTCGTTTACCTTCTACGTTTGCGGACTTTGATAGTTTGCCTTGTTCTCTAAAATTTCCGATTTCCGGCAATAAATTCGCCTTTCTGTTTTCCTGCGTTTTGAGCAGGCTTTTTGGTTGTTTTTCTGCCGGATGATCTGACCCAGCTTGACCCGGCTGGCCTGCATGCACCAGGTACACTCTGACCAGGCTGTGTTGAATGTCTAGAGCAGGCCCTGTGGGTGTCTGTCATGGCGGAATTCCGGGGTTACATCACAGTTGGTGCAGGTATGCCGCGGGAAGTGGCGCAGTGCGTTCAACTACAAGTAACTGAGTTGCAGTTGTGCAGCAGGAGGTCTGAGCTGCAGTTGTTCTGCAGGAGGTTTGAGCTTCAGTTGTGCTGCAGGAGGTCTGCTTGAATCCTGCTTGTATGCCCTACATCAGTTAATATTAATGATGTAGCTTTTTATGATCCCTGAATTTCGCCATGACAGCACTTCATCCGAGCTGCACACTCCGGGTGTCATGTAAAGTTACAGGAAAGCCTGTCAAGACGACCACTCTCAGGGACGTCGGAAGCCGGGTATTTTAGTGTGGTACGGTTAGCCATCTGAACTACAATTTACCTGTGGGGAAGGGGTGGCTGAGCTGAACATTTCGGAAATTTAGACCCCAGATCGGTGTATTGTTAGGGATTTACAGGGCGGGCAGGGCTACAATAGTTATATCAGTGCATGATCACTGGATTGTACGTAGGAATGGTGGGGGACCAGTCCGGTTGTTCAGGCCATGGCTGCACCAACGTTTGGGCTACCACTCCAACTGGTCACGATCCACAGTTGAAAAGGTCATGTCTAACCTCCGAATCATACACAAAGTGTGAAAGGATGAACTCGGATGGAGAACCAAGGATCAATTGATAGCAAAGAAAAGGACCAAGGAACTATGTCGGTCAGTGTCGTTCAGTGTTATAGCATGAGCTGATTGTCAAGTAACTGGTGGTGTTCGTCGACATTAAAGCGCAACTTGTAGTTCCTTGGTCCTTTTCTTTGTTATAAAAGACCAGTCAAAAACTGCTCCCGCTGGTCTTGGTATGCGGTGTTGCGGTGCCGCACCACAGGAACTACACTGGCGGCAAGTTAAGTCCAATCCCAGGAGCAGTGCACCAACATAGCACACACGACCGCACCAACCTCGAAGCATCTGTACAGTGCATGCAAGCATACTCTGGATGATCAGGTGCTACTCTTGGATGTGAGCGTCCCATTCAACCACAGGCTCAACCGAGAAGGGGTCCAGGGGAGAATCAGCACTGCCATCTACAATACACCTGGAAAGATAGTTTATTTTATTTTATTTTTTACAAAAAGCCATGTGGTGCACGCAATGTGAACATGCAGCAGCCATGGTGGTGGGCCATGGGGGCCAGTTGCCGTTACAGGTCTACCCTCATTAGTATGACATCAGTTATGACAAACCTTATTAGTAGACAGTGGGGAAATACTGTGTCTTTAGTGGGGAAACACACCACTGTGTTCATCTACTCCCGTTGTACCCAGCCCTGGGTGTCGGGTAGCACGGCGTCCCAGCGAAGCAATATGAGATGCCGAGGCAGGGGTGGTCCCCCCCCCCCCCCCCCCCCCCCCCCGGTATCAGAGCTTCCTTGCTCGCAGGCTCAGCCCCAGTGTTCTGGAGCTGGAATGAAAACGTTTTCTCTCAGATGTGACCAGTCTAGTTCAAACTTACAACTTTTGGCCAAACCAAAGTAGCCGAGGATGGCCACAGGCACATCCCCCCCCCCCCCCCCCCACACACACACAAACACAACACACACTTGTACAAACATTGACGCGAGATAGAAGACCGAGCTCACACCTGAGCCGATTCAGGCAAACACATAGCTGCATTCTGATATTTTCAAAATCTCTATGGCACTGGCTGAAAAGCTCGGTCCGTTCGGCTTCCGGCTGAGGGTGATGTTGGGCAGTTGTGGTTCCCTATTGAAGTTTTGGCTGGATTCTCTGCAAGAGATTTTCTACATCATTAACGTTATAAATATAAAGAACAGATGGGTGCGAGGTAGGAGCCCCTTCCCACTACGTACTGTCACGAGAGATGAGAGCCAGTCAGAAAGTGCGATAACTGGCAGTGTGACAATAGACAGGTTCCGGAGTACGATTTTTCGTGTCAAAATCTGTAGAGGCACTACGGATTTTTATACGTCGTTTTCGAGTTTTCGAACAGTGAAATGTTCCGGAGTACGGAACTTATGTGTTTTCCGTCATCGCCTAGGCTACGATCACAAACACGTCACGGCACGGAGAATCATCGGATTCTCCGTGCCGAAAAATCTTATGAGGCACGCCTCGAAAAATCCGTAGCGCCCATGCGGATTTTGGCACAGAAAATCGTACCCGTAACCTCTCTAGTGGCTCGTAACTCGTAACTCGTACCCATGTGTTCTTTATTTCTACATTCTATTATCGGCTCAATAATTATCATTAACGTTATTCCCGCTTCAGGAACTGCATCTGTGCCTTGATCCTTGAGGGTGGTGGCGGTCGGTCCTTCGGATGCGGAGAACTCGGTCTAATCGAGTCTCCACGCAAACCGTGAATTAAACAGATGCATGTACATGTATGTCTTGCTTTCCATTGCAATGTGTTTGAAATGCGTTTGAATTGTTCCTCGGCTCCTTTTGTTGTCTCTGTTCACTATTGCACAGGTATTCTCATCCGCCAGCCATGTACACATTACACGGTGTACGTCCAAGCAGTATGGGCGTAATAAGCCCTCCTCGCTTGCAGCTCATCCGTCAGGCAAGGTGTTTGCTGTCGATCACGACAGTCATGAACATTTCACTAATGCATGTATTTAACCAGACAGCTAGGAGACAACAATTTATACCTACAATCGATAGGAAAAGCTGAATCGGCAAGTGGACAGTTTATTCTTGCAGTACCGAACGGCGCAAACATTCTGCAATAACAGCGACGAAAGTAAGAAGAACTCGCGAAGAGAACCAGCTGCCTTTCATGGTACGGTACGGGACATGTACGGGATAGCGCCAGGCATGCCGACGCGACAGGCACAAACAAACAATTACCGAATGTGAACCCTGGCTAGCGCCAGATGTTACTGAAGTAACGTCATTTGCATTGCTACAGGGATTAAACCAAGTTTACGTGCAACACTCAATAGGAATCTTCATTGTAAGATAACCAGCACGTACTAACAACACTGAAGTGTGGCTTGTAAGCATTCACAGTTTGACCTGGTTCTCGGTAGTCTGTACACGCCCTAAGCTGAAAACTGCGCGTGTATATCTCTATGCCCTAGAGATACGCGCTTGCATAGTCCTCTCCAATTCTAGTGTTGTCCAACATTCGCGTGTCCTGTCAAGTTTGATCTGCGTGAGTGTGTGGCTCTGAATTTTTGTGACGGGTTTCTTTTTGCTTCTCTTTCTCTTTTCTCTCTATCGATCCTCCCTATCTGTGTATTCCATTCTGCCACGGTTTGCTCTCACCCTTCACCTCTACTGATTATTAAATATTGGCCATCTTTTGATAAATTGATAATCCTTTTAAAAAACCTTTCAACCTTTGTTCAGCATGTGCATGTTTGTGCGAATTAGCCTCCGGGTCGCAGGGCAGAGCCTAGCTGCTGTGAATCCAGAGGTGTTGGAGGATGCAGGAGAGAACGGGTACTGCCCTGGTTACCAAGGTGATACCATCTGCTGTCTCCATGACAAAAACTTCAGTCTCCATGGGGATACTGGTAGAGAACATCGTGCACCTGCGTTCCCGCCAAAGCCGTTAGACACGGTGGTGCGTGCGCTGTGGATTTTTTGAAAACGTGCACGGCGTCCAACACTGCCGCTAGTTTTGTGAACATAGCCACTGGGGGCGGAAAGTCTATATGAAAGAAGGATCTGGAAGGGGTGGAGGTGGGGAAGCAACAGCATCAGCATAACTGCCAGCATCTCAACTACCAGGTCTAGAAACAAACTCTGTTGCTCTGAACCAGCAAAATAAGCTAAAAAAAAGATCAATAACCATCAGGAAATTTTTCATACACCATCCCCCTACATACAGTATAGCACCACACAGGCACAGTCATACATACATACAGTCAAGAGTACTCTTTATACAGTAAATATCCATTTTGCACTTATTGACTGTCCAGAATGTTGTGGTAGCAAAATGTGAGCTCCTCGGAGTCGGCTTTGAACCTTGCAAAGCACGAATGACAAGCAAAGACAGGATCCACATGGCCATACTACCTGGTGTTGTCTATGTTCAAGCACTGTGTGCATTTGAACATTTCCTCATACCACACTAGACAATACCTCCATGCATGACATCATCATGCATGGAACTAGAACTGAACAGGAGGATTGGTGGCATACATGTATGATGTAGCCAAAAGAGAGGATGCAAGTGGAAATTTGTTGTAACTAAAGTCTCATGCCGAAGCCACCATCAGACAACTGGACACCTGGATCGGTGACATCCAGGCCATCATTCATCCCTAAACGATGGACCAGAACTACTACTTCATCGGGGAAAAGATGCGCTCACGCGCGCTGCTGATCCCGCAACCCCTTCCCTAGTAACAAACCAAGCAGAAATCGACTCCACATGTTACTCGAGATTTGAGTATTACTCGAGATAGATAGATAGATCCGAGTGTCAGATATACTTGATAAAGTGCTTTATCAATATACTGGATAAAAGCACCAAAAAATGAAGTGCGTGTGTGTGTGTGTGAGAGAGAGAGAGAGATAGAGAGAGACAGACAGACATACAGACAGACAGAGAGCGAAAGAGAAGCAGTTTTCTCGTGCGTGCACACACACACACACACACACACACACACACCGACGCTCGTACAGCCAAAGTACGAGGACTACAACTAAAACGGCTGGCCAGCCAGAAGGGCATGTTTACAAGACACTTGCAACAAGAGAGCAGATGCACACTAAATGCAATACACGATAAAGAAATAAAAGACAACCCGTCCGAATTTGAATTTCAAGTTGGAATATATCTGTTGTGGGCCAGTCGCACAGCAACGTTTGTGGGAAAAAAAGGAGCGGAAATGTTCAAGGCAGGCGGCTAGGTGATTGCAGGAGTCCTGTGGAACTAAGAAACTACACAACATGACCAGCCAGCCTACACAACATCTGTGGCCATCACGTTGGCCTGAGCACTAATAAGCTAGCGCAGAGTTAGCGTACAGAACGGACGCGGGGAACAAGTACCACGCAGACCAGAAGAAGGCAGCGGAGGCGAGAGCTAGGCAGACTCGACTGCAAAGAGAGGGGAAAGCAAAGACTAGCAGCGGCAGCAGCAGCGATGATCGCTGGCCTGCACAGTGCCAGCAGGCTTGCACAGCAAGACTGATAGACAGACATCGCACCAGGACTGCACGCCTTGAGCGCACAGTAAAATCCTCAAAACAACATGATAATTATGGTACTGCGACGGAACCTATTGGCAAGGCGCTAGAGTTAACACAACTGGAGCCATCGACAGTGCAAGTATAAAACACACACACACACACACACACACACACACACACACACACACACACACACACACACACAGACACACACACACACAGACACACACACACACACACACACACACACAGGCACACACACAGAGAAAGAGTTCCAAAACTCAAACCAGCCTCTTCGCGGGCGGCTCCAGTTCTTCGCTCAGGGTGTACGCTTCCTTCTCGGTCTTGTATGGCATGTTCAGAAGATACTCTCGGACCGGGGACCGCGAACCACACGGATAAATACTAGCCAGCTGGTAGCGCCACAGCTCTGCCTGAATAGTCGAGCGTAACTGAACTAGCTGCCCGCTGACGCTGTCGTCAGCAGCAGCGGCTTTGTCCTTTCGGCCTTCAGTAGACGGCAAGGGCGTTTGCTCAGGTTGCTGTTCCTCGTCTTGTTGCCGTTGCTGCTGCTGTGACGGGGCTTTCTCGGAATCGGCCGGTAAAGTCGAAGTGGAACACAAGGATATCGTGTCACCGTCACCGGGAATAACGCACGCATCGGCAGTGACGTCCGCAGCATCCGCCGCCGTCTCGTCGAAATGCGTTACATCCACGGTGGTGTTAGTGGACGTGGTCGGAGTCAGCAACGGGAGTTTCTCGGCCGACCGCATGGCAAAGCCGACGGGGCTGGAGCCATCTCCGCCGCGCGCAACGACCGGCGTGTCTTCTCGACTCGACGGCTTAGAGGAGCTGCCATCACTGGCAGAGTCAAAGACGAGAGCACCAGGCAGGTCGCTGGTACCCCCCGCCGGCAAGCCGCACACCGTGTTCTTCATTAGGTCCATGTTGACGCACTGGATGTCGAAGGAGGACAGGCCGGCGTTCACAATGCTAATGCTACTGGTGCGCCGAGACAGCTGGCCTTCGGGCGAGCTGATGAGCCAGTCGTCGGAGACGCTGTGGGGAACGGGCTGTCTCATCGTGCCATCCTGGTCATCATCACCATCGTCCTCCTCCGCTTCGCACAGCTCGCCACGGCGAGGTAGATCGTGCAATGATTGGCTGGATTTCTGGATGGTCCGTGCCGCCGACGGTGTACGAACAGCCGGGCAAGCTGTTCGCTGGCCGCCACGCGGCGAAGGCGACGGAATCGACGGCGCCACCGGCCCCTGCGCAGCACACCTTCCCTCCTTGGTAGCGTCGTTGTTGCTGATGGCGTTGCAGCTGTGCGAGCCGCCGAAATGCCGCCGCTGACTATCCGAGCGGCCGAAAATGCTCTCCGGCGTCAGAGCCGGTGCTCCGTCGCTGGTGACGCTGCCCGAATGCGAACTGGAGAGCGACGAGGTGGATCCGCAAGACGGCACACTGCCCAGGCTGGCCAGGCTGCCGCGGGTCAAGCGAGGCACCTTGAAGCTGCGCCGCGCACAGCGACTGCCAGGGCCTGCCGGTGACGTGGCGACTAGCTGCGTTGTGTTGAAGCTGTCCGCTCCTTCGTCCTGTTCTTCCTCGTCCTCCTCGTCCTCATCATCGTCTGATTGTTCGTTGCCGGGCACTATATCATCCTCGTCGCCGTCAAACAAACTGCTCGGGTTAACAGGTGCGTGCCGGCCGTCGAACGCCATGCAGTCGAGCTGCGCAAAGGACATTCGTCGCGACTTAATGATGTCCTTGCGTGTCTGGTGCGAGTCGCCCTGCTGCGGGTGGGTCGCCGCCACGCCGCCATTGGCTGCGTGGTCGCCGGGCGTGGCAACGGACGACGTAGAGCCGTTGCCAGGGGTGTCCGCTAGCGATACGGGACCGCTAGCGACCGGTTGTTGCCGCTGGCCGGAGGCGTCGGTGGTGTCGCACGCGCCACGCGTCGAGTCCCGGCTCTCCACCTTGGTGCGAGCGGGACGATTGGGCGGGCCACCACTGCTGCTGGTCTTGCTGCGCTCAGACTGGTACGCCTCCATCTGCACTACCTTGGAGAGGAAGACGCCGAGGAACGGCACGCACGGAGGAGTCTCCAGTGCCGTCTCCAGCGACTGACGGTAGGTGGCGAAGTTCTCTTCCTCGCTCATGATGGTCGAGAGCTTCTTGAATTGCCTAGAAAGTACGAGCATAAAGAACGGAACAAAGACCCGATGAATATGTGAAGTTACGATGCAAAACGCGACAGATCCATTCCATCACTTTTCAGATAATGACCAAAATCAATAGATGATATGCCAAATAACGTGCAACTAGTCTTAAGAGGGCATTGCAGAGTAGTTGAATACAAAGTTCAAAGTTGTACGGTTACCTGTGACTTGCATTCCTGCAGAGCTCAGGGCCTACCATGTACACATTGTAGTATAATTTGTATGCAACTTGTGTGCGATGCCCTCTCAAGTCTAGTTGCGCGTTATTTGGGATATCATCTATAAGAATTCATATGCGGTTTGTATCTCAATCCATATTCGGCCACCATTTTTTAAGTGGTTCTGATCAGATTTTGAATGCGAACATTTTCCTGAATGTGCCTCCAGACAGTTTGATTGCACTGAGCTCAAAATCTAATTTCGTCAAATCTGGCGCTTGTCATGTATAACAATACCCAATGGAATCAAAAAGGCGCAGTGCACATCAACCAGCGGCTTCATAGCAATCTAAAGATTACGATCAGCTGCATTGTTTCAGCGGTCTACTTCGCTCTGTGTCAGCCATCAGTGCAAAAGGAGTCAAGAACAAGCCAGCACAGAAATATTCACACAGCTGTGGACGACTCCCAGTGCCGCAATCCACACAGTCACACAAAGACTGTCGACGTCAAAAATCCCGGAGCATCGTTGGAGGTTAGTCGCAACAGCACTCTGAGAATATAGCACACAGACAACCACATACATCATCCCTCTATTTGAAGGCCCTCTCGGAGGCAATGCCGCACACAACAAGAGGAGAGAGACCGAGAGAGACCAAGAGACAGAGACTGAGGGAGAGAGAGAGAGACCGAGATTGAAAGATGGAGATCCACAGAGAGAGAGAGAGAGACAGACAGACAGACAGACTGAGAGAGTTACAAGAGGTGCCAAGGAAAACCTACTTTTTCCGTCTGGTCGAGACTTCCTTCCAGGTCTGTGACAATCGATACACAGCAGCACACTGCAATCCACCCAGGATAGCTCGGAGTGAATTGAAGTTGCACAGAATACGACATTCCACCGCCAACTGCAAAAATGAAGGCAAGACACCATTGGCAGGCAAGACTGATGAAGGAGATAACAGTGTGTTTTTAGTTCTTCTAAAGAAAAAGGGTGACAAAACACATGGCTTGACAGAAATGGTAACAACCTTGCCGCAATAAATGTTTGTAATTAAAGGTCGCCCTTTTTCTTTACTCTCACATTGTTGTTGCTGATACACACATGCAACGCTTAGTTCTCAAACCCTAATTCTTCTAAAGCGAAAGTTTGTTCTTCTTACAACAAGGTTTCACTGTACCTTGATGAAATACATGATGACCTGCGCCCGCACTTGCGGCGTGGGCTGCGACAGTATCTCCGTGGCAACGGCCAGGGCTACGCGATTGAATGCATTCACCATGCTGACGATATTCGGCGCTAGCTCCTCCTGAACACACATGCACAAACAGGGAAAACAGAAAGACTGAGCACTTGATTCGTTCATGTCGAGAGGAATACAAAAGTGCATTGCCAATCTAGGGGTTATGTGATTACAGTCTACTTGTATATACAGTAGTGCTGCATCTGATAGCCTTGTTTAAATCAGTAATTACCCCCCCCCCCCCTGCCGAAAAACCAGCGGGGAAAGGACACGGTGTGGTGGTGTGTGGTGGTGTGGTGTGTGGTGTGTGGTGGTGTGGTGGTGTGGTGTGTGGTGTGTGGTGGTCTGTGGTGGTGTGGTGGTGTGGTGTGTGGTGGTGTGTGGTGGTGTGGGTATCAAATGTATCTTAGGATGCTGTACATGCCAAACTCACAGGTACAGACTCACTCGCATAACCAACACATGGCGAGCCTCGCACCAGTTTGATACACTGCACTACTCTTTTCGCAGTGCATGCACTTTCATTGTAACCGAGCAGAGTGGGCAGCTGCACTTTGCTGTCCCTACAGGATACAGCGATTCAGCGGACGCGCAATTTTCTGCGTTATTGGTTTTCATCCGCGTTTTAGAGAGATCTTGCATACAACCCGTTTCCTACATGTCACGTGCCTGTTATCAGGTCGTTGCTAGCATTTACATAATTGGCAGTACTCCAGCGCACATAGAACACATGGGACCATTCCTAAGGACACCACATGCGCACACACACCACACAAAACGAAACTACTTACGTACGTGCACCGTCCAAAACAATTATATTGTACTAGCAATGTCGACATAGGAGAAGTAATTTATAACAACGTGACAATAGCACACAGCATGGCATTACCATGCATTACTAAATTCAAGTCAATTGAGACGAACAAGTCGACAGGTGAACATGCATCACAAAGTTACCTATCTGGAATAGATCAGATTGTATCTCGAACTCCTACAAAATATACAGTTACATCTACATGTACATGTACTTCAAATGTACCTAGCTGCATTATACATGTCCAGTGTACATATGGACCTCAAGTAAACTGAAAGCAATGCGAACAAAATCTCAGATGTATGTGAAAAAGAATCATTGTTCCGAATAAGAACACTTACAATGTACTCTCAAAACTAGTCTAATTACTAGTGCCACTTGGTCAAGGATGTTTGCGTCCAACGTTAACTCCAAAGCAGCAGCGAATCAGCTAACTTCCGTACCACCCAATAGGCAACACTAACACCAAAATGCAAAGGCATATTCCTGGAACTGCAAGTAAATCTGACACAAAACGTTCTATCATTCCACGGAGAAAGCTCCTTCCGATCTTGTTCGACCCTTCATTCATGTGACAGCTGATTGGAACCTTCCTCCTCCCTTGACTATGTTTACCTTATTTGTCTACAACTAGGCACGTGGCATGTATAAACTATAATAAACACATGGTGCGTCGTGCATTATGGCTGATTGTATGCCCTCGTGCGTAGCCCTCGGTCGTGCACCATAGCCCATGGCCCACGGGCTACGGTGCACGACCTCGGGCTACGCACTAGGGCATCAATCAGCCATAATGTCCTCCGTACCATGTGTTATTATATACGTTATTCATGGGAAATGTACAGTTGTGGCAAGTGAAATCCGACACTTGGCATAAGGGACTGCACCATGCAGTCTGCAGCCCCTGCAGCCCTGCATACGTCATTCAGTACAGGTGTTACATACAACTTTATCTGTCTGATGACAAAACTCGTACTCACAGTCAAGGTTCAAAAGGTGCTGGCAAAAATGAATGGGGATTGGATACCAATACTCCTTATGAGTACCATCAAGAGTACATAAACCAGAGTGTGCAACTGTGCATATCAGATCTGAAACAGCGCAGTTCGTGCACTACGTCACCCTGATGAGATCAGCCAAGCCGCGACTTGCGTAGAGCTCAAATTTTCATGTTTCATAGCCCGGAAATCAGCCAAGTTTGCTTGATTTTAGACGTCCTGTTTCAGGATTTCGGTGTTTTGTGTGACTGTGTACGCTGCGTACATCCACCGACAAGTAAAGTCACCAGGCTATCCGTCTCAAAAAACCGAAATCAGGACAAACTCAGTGAACTGCACCACCGCGACTGGTTACGCAACTTTTCACCGTACCTGTGGCTTACCATGCCGTCAGAAATGACGTAGTGCACGAATTACGCTCCCACAGGAACCATCCCGAGTTGCACACTCTGGTTTATGTACTCTTGGTACCATGCCTGCGAACTGTGTGTATCTACGCTGTGACCTTTCGATCTGTTTGTGATGCATACGGCTCTATAGTACAAATTAGGTGCAGTGCATTACATCATTGGTGTCCATTTGATGTGCTGTCCCCTATGGCAAGTGTTGGATTTCACATGCCACAACTGTACAAGAAAATAGTACATGATGTTGTGATCAAGGTACGAGTACCGTAAAAAATACCGTTGTTTGCTGAGGGTGTCTACTGACCGCATTATACCTCATACTTGCCGCACAATCCCATTATGGCCTGTTTTCACCCGCATAATTTTAGGATTTCGTCCACGTTATTCTGTGGGGCCAGACTTTGAGCCCAAAATAGCGCATCTAACATGCGCACAATACTCAGGAAGATACGGTACCTCCCAGGCACGCACAGGTAATGCGCATGTGCAGTTGTGACCAAAGAAATCCGACCCGTGCCCTGAAAGCAGCGCTGAAGCTCATGCGGTCCCGGCGGCTCTCGCTGGGTTTTAGCCAACTTTCTCGAACCGTGCGTGATGTAACTGAAAAGGAAATGAGGCGCTATTTTGAGTTGCGGGTCGGATTTCTTTGGCCACACCTGTACTTTAGTTATAACCGACGTACTGTGTATCCATGGTCAAGTGACTAGTGGCTTGTCGAATACAGTTCTCCAACTAAAGTGCCTTAGGCAAAAAAACAAAAAAGTGGCTCGTTTCGCGTCTGCAGATTGGCAGAACCGAAACAAGCCACTTTGTTTGCTTTGGCCTCACAATGGCATAGCGCTCGAAATCTAAATCTACGACTAGAATGAAGGCTGCAGATATCGCCACGCAACATGACACTTATTCGAAATGTAGGTGTGTATTTTACTTTTTTTCTTCCAGAATCGGTTTTCTTGTTCCGATCATCAGTGGAATATACTACAGAACAAGTGTCATGTTACGTGGTGATTGTCTGCAGCCTTCGTCCTATCCATAGCTCTCATTTAAAAAAAGCTGGTCCGGGAATAACCTGACAAACAGGACTGGCTGATTCAGAACAAGTGTCATGTTACGTGGTGATGTCTGCAGCCTTCATCCTATCCATAGCTCTAATTTAATTATAATTAGGGCTGAAACGGTTACACATTTGTGCTTAACGGTTAGCTGTTAGCATAACGGTCGGTTAACCGGTTATAACCTATAAGACTACAACATGGAAACTTCATTGTTTTTGACGCCATTTTTATGCTTTGACTGAAGAATTTTCATGATTCTGTACAAAATACTCGAAAATAGGTAACATCTGCTGGGTAGCTAAAAAGCGGAGTGCACAATTTTCACCTTACACCTGAGGTCATAACTTTGGTGTCCTTCACTTGATTTTCACAATCTTGGGCTCCTTGAGAGCAAAGCGACGATACTAGTTTCCATCAAACAATCTCCACATATCAGGCGCAGGAACACAGCGAAGTCGTTTCCAAGCCCGATACGCAAGCAAATCCGTCCCATCAACGCCATTTCACTTTCTTCCATCGCAGAACAAACAAATATTTTGAGACGTTTGAACTTCAGGCCGCTACGTCACTAGCTTGTGCTCAGTTGCTCCAAAGGCACGCAAAAAAGGATTTGTTTCACAAAAGGTGGTCATGAGTATCGATCGAAAATTTGAATTAAATATTTGCAGAGATAGGAATTCGACACGCGATATCTCTGGAGTCAGACATTGCAGATCTTCGGCGATTGTTGCAATGGAGAGCTCGGAGTGTCCGCTACCACGTAGAGCCTTCGATTGTTGAATTTGAACAAGAAATGACGGAGTTATGAAGGTTCCTATTTTTCGAAAAATGTTCGAAAAAATCGCTGCATAACCGTCGATCAAACGGTTATCCGTTTGTTTGGCCCTAGCGGTTACATAACCGGTTATTCGTAGTAACCGTTTCAGCACTAATTATAATACAGTAAAACCTGTAACTAAAGACCACCGTGACTAGCGACCAGCCTGGTACTACAGACCACTTTGCCAGGCACGGACGGTCTCACATTCATAATAGTTGTGCGGTGCAAACCTCTGAATAAGGACCACCTGCCGCTAAAGACCACTTTCTCTGGCCCCAAGGGGTGGTCGACAGTTACAGGTTTTACTCTATGGTTGTTTGCTTGATGTCGGATAACCCATCATACCCTGAGTACTATGCAAGGACACCGTACCTTGTTCTTCTTGATCCAGCGGCAGTCCTGCAGTTCCTTCATGCGGATCTTGCGTAACTGCTCGCCGTCAATCAGCGCCAGCTCCTCTGCCAAGTGCCGGACGCTGTACTGAAGCACCAGCGAGTTGCTCAAGTTGTTACGAGCAAACAAGCCCGTCATCTGCACATCACAACATACGAACGGACAGAGACGCAGTACATGCACATGCACACACACACACACACATTCACAGACAAACACACACACACATGCGCATAGCACGAGCAGAGGAAGAAACAATGGCTATCAGGGAACGCCATGGGTAGCATCACGACGACATACGCACGGGAATGCCACGGACCAACTACAAATACACACCTGACCACACTAAGATAATCTGCTGAGAAGAATATGTTCTGCCATAGGCGCCGAGCACCGTGACCTGTTGTCAACGTTCCTTTGTGCTCAGAATACAATATTATTAAGCTAAACGTCAACGTCTAAATTGCTACGGAATACTACAATTTTTCCTACTCCTACCATACGCTGGATATAAAATAAATAAAACATCCATTTCGACTATCGACGACTGACAAATGAAGCAAATGATGACATGCTATTCACTTCCGGATAGCAAGTAGGCCAGTGCATGATCAATGACTTAGCTCGACTACGGCGCGCCGCTTACTGATTTTTCCGAATCCGACTTTGGATCGCCACCGGCCTGGCCACTCGGGTGCAGGAGGCGATGGCTTAATGTGCGGCCTAGCAAGCTGATCGGATCGGACACGTTGCGCCTGTGCTGCTTTGTGAAGCCAGGCAGGCTGCTAGACGGCACAACTACAACGCTGTTCCTGCTACGGGTGGCGTTACTAGTATCAGGAGTGTGAGCACCCACACTAGTGCCAGGAAAGGACTGAGCTGGCATGCTATCAGTGCTGGTGCGTGTCGCCAGTTTGGATTCAGTGCGTGCTCGCAACGCCTTATTCGGATGGAAGCAGGGCTTACTCGCGGATAGACTGGCCGTGGTGGATCGGACTGGGCTACAGGCACTAGTAGATCTACCAGACCAGGTCTGAGGCGAAGCAGAGCAGCTGGTCAGTCGCCGTCTGGGTGGGGTGAGGGGCGAGAGAGGCACGGACGTGCGACGACCTGCCTTGTCATACTGCCGTCGGAAATCCACCGCCTTGATCCGGTTCAGTGAGTCCTGGCGGGTGAGCAGGGACGGGCGGACAATGCTACTTTTCTGGTCGTCCAACAAAGCTCCAATGGAGGAAGTCGAAGTCGAGGTCGAAGACGAATCGGTCGCGTCCAGTTCGGAGATGCGCCCAAGAACTGACAGAGACTGCGAAGAAGCGACCCGAGATCTATCAGTATGGTTCGCCACGGCAGGACTAGCCATAGCTCTTGCTGCTGAACTGCCAGTGTCAGAATTCAAACCACTCACCGACTTTGCCTCTCCGGACGAGCTGGATTTGTTCACCTCAGCTCGAATTTCGGTGTTCTTTTCGCGCTGGAGATGTTCGCCACCTGGAGCTCCATGCTGATCATCAAGGTCTTCATTATCACCACTATCGCCTCCACATCCACGGAGAAACAGTGAGTCGTGGTCTTTTCCACCGGCTGCAAACCGTCTTCCAGCAAAGTAACTGCAACTGTCAAGCGGAGAGTTTTGCTCATCCACCACGTGGTGCCCAATGAAGTGGTTCTCCATCATTTCGCAAACGAACCCCAAACTAGCTAAATTTGGAGGAGCGCACATCCTGTCGTACGGATCAGGACAAACAGTAGGGTCAGGTGCGACAAAAAAGGAATATCGAGCATGAACTCTCACTCCTGTTGTGAGTAGGGGCAATCAGTGGTACCAGGAGTACATGGGGGTTATGTAGTCCCGGTGGTACTCTACGATAGAAGTGACAATGGTGCAGATTCGGAGTACATTTACACTACAAACAGTGTACATTGCCTACTTCTGTAGTTCCTTTGACCAGACACTGCTACTCTACGCACTCTACTACTATACTCTACTACTATACAAGAACCCTACTACAACTGCAACAAGTACAGAAACTTGAAGCAACAGTCAAAACGAAGAAGCGAGAGTTGGAAATGGTCAGGAAGTCGGCAATCACATAGACACGAGCGCCACTCTGGCACTGACTTCGAACCAAAGCAACCGGCGCACAATAGCAAACTAAAATCATGTACATGGCCGCCAGCACAGCACGCTGACTCGACTACACTACAGGCTCAAGCAGGCACACAAAAGTAAAAACTGCTCTTTTCTGCAATGCACGCGTGCACGGGATCTGTGGTAGTTCCGCCGAGCTGTGATGAAGCGCAGTGAAACGGATCCAGGACTGCGTGTGCTGGCTGCACTGACAGACTCCGTGCAGTGGCAGCAGGCCGGCCAAGGCTTGAAGGCTTGAGTTGAAATGAAACCAGAAATAGCTCAGCGACTCGAGTCAAGTGCTTCACGTGAGGGTGTGATCTCTGGAATGATGACTCCGGCCGGCAGCCCCTACTCTACTCCACCAAAACCGCTCCGTACATGTAGCAGTACATCCAGAAGCAGCGGAACAGAGCAAACTAAAACCTCCCGCTAGGCTCCCGTTCGTATTGCCTACACTAGGCTACAGCGGAGTGACAGAGCTAGCTTGCTTCAGATCCGTAAACTCTACCAAGCGATCGTTTACCACGGGTCTGGAGAGAATTCGTGGCATTTCCGATCCGATGGTGCTTTCGCCATGACTCCGAGCATGAGTATGACAGCAGGAACGAGCAAAAGATGAGGGGTAAAACTATGAGCACCGTCCGATGAGAGAAGACTTCAAGTGTGACTGACAGTGCGAATCGCGAAGTACTTGTGCCTGCACATCACACTTGAGAAAAGAGTTCACGCGTTGCTGCCTGGACCATGGACCACCGCCGATTGTTCCCGATCCAGGCACTTGGCTTGGATCTTTCCATTCTGTAGATCTCGAGTGCGCTGTGTCATGTAGACCGTCCACATGTCGTGTACTTCACCTTCCTTCCTTCTTCTACAAGGGACTCAGCAATAGTGTGCCAACAAAACGGAACCCAACGGAGCGCAGTATCAGCGAGGGGCGAAAGGCGAATAACAATACCGTCGCACCGAGCGCCGCTCTCAACGAAGCCGAAGACGACACGAATTATTTTCCCTCGTGCAGCAAGCGCTGGATATGGCCGATCACAACACACCTACAAGAAAGGAGCCTGATAACGAGATGCTGGGGTGCTGAACAGGACGGGGGAAAGGTGTGCTGCATGCTCGCTACTGCTGCTGAGTGCTGGCATGCTCATGTCATGAGTCATGACCATCAGGGCAATGACAGATGAGGGATTGAGGGTCAGCTGTGCTATGTCAATGCCACTTGCCAGGACAATGCCAATGGTCACCTGGGGCGGCTGTTGGCAGTGTTGCAGAGTTCCACGGACAAAATTTAATCATAGGGATTGATGATCATTCCACAGCTTGCAAAGCAACATGCAGAAAGAAGTACGCGGAGCGTAGATTCTACGCGTGGCGAGGGGCCGGCTTGGAACGAAACATTGCTCCATGCATTCAGGAATGTCCAGCAGGCAGCCTTCCGAATGATGAGAACAAGCCTCCTTGATTTACCACCCTGCCAGTCCCTAGACTGATGGTGGACAGCCGGTATTCAAACTCTGTCTGCCGATCAGATCATCATAGACATAGATCTACAAGAGTAGACCTACTAGCACTGGACAGAATGGATATTCTTGATCGTAAGTACTGATCTACTGACCACAAGCAAAGGTTGGCTTTTTCTTCATGGCTTCACGGGATTAGCTTAGAGCCTTTTTGACCACAACTGTGAGACAGCTGCGGTGCAGATCTACAGAGTCAGTACATATTCCTGCGAACACTGGCATGTGTGTATTTTAGGTCAAATGTGAAAGTCATCTAGTCACTTCTTCCACCATGTGGCCTGGCCTGGGCCTTGATTGGTTTGAGTCTGGAGCTGTAATAGACCAATCCCGAAAAGATTGTCTGGGTTCGAAAGGGGGCATGTCAACTGAGAGTACACTGTACAACATATACATGGCACTACCTGATCAGCATGCGGCACAGGACGTGTTTGATAGTTCGCGTGTGAATGCGAGGGTAAGTACACGATTTTCTCGTTAGTTGCATGCAAGAGAGACGATGCGACAGAAAGCGAAGCCCTTTGTAGTTTTCTCTCTCGCACTGGTAATGGTCTGCTGTTGGAGTTGAAATGCTAAGACATAATCCTTGTTTCGCTCTTCTGTGTAGTGTGAAGAGGTCAACGAACATGTAGAGCTCACTTTGATGAAGTAGGCAAGGCTGTGAGCGCTGTGGCTCAAAGCGATAGGCCCTAAATCTTACGAGATATTTCGAGTGCTATTGTTTGTTGCGAGCGCTTCGTCTTCGATGAGTCCTGCCTCTTTCCTGGCAGCTGCCCTCCTATAGGACCAACCACGAAGTGACTGTACTCATCTGCAGCCGATCAATGTTATATTGCACAAGAAGATATCGTTTTCGCCAAGCCAGTGCCCCGCCAAAGACCATCGCCGTGTCACACCGTCGGAACGAGTTCATGATGAGAAACATCATTCGCGCGAGCGTGATGAAGAAATATTTCGAAAGACAACATAGTCTTTACCCCCGGGACGACAACTATGTGCACGTCCTGCAAGGGGAGAATGTCACCAGCGACATCAACGAAGACGACGGCAGCATTTCGGAAACCTGGAGGCAGCGGAGGTCGTCAAGCTCCTCCGCGACCCGGTACATGTACAGTATGTGACATGTCGACACGAGCGTGCGGAAACACAGCATACTCTGTAGTACTGTTGCGAGAGTTTGCGGAAGGAGTCCAAGTCGGGAAATCCATCAGCTCCAAAAGCTACCTGTAGGTGGGCGATGAGACTCCAGCTTCAGACTACAACAGTCAGGACTTGTAAATAGTTGAACTTTGTGAAGCATCAGATCGAGAAGTTAGCTGAAATCGTAGCTGTTGCAGTATGTCGGCGCTATGTAGCTTGCATTTTTTACGGAGAGTCGATCGCCACGCGAATGTTTCTCTCCTCACCGAGAGCTATCTGGCCTCCAAACTCCGTCAGGGTCTGCCTAAGGTACCGAAGGTCCTTTGACTAGCTGCTGGCAGGACTCC